GCAAACGCAAGCTTGCACTAGTCTGAGTTCGACTGTGTGTGAATCTCTCGGCAGCGGTCCACTCACCAGACCCGATTAAGTTGAAGTTGACACTACTTATTAGTGCCTGCGCACCCCAATCTGCACCAAGCCGTCCTTGCAACTATTAGTTCCTTGAACTCTTATGATCGCAGGCCAGGTTCTCACTACGATCCGCGCCTAAGGACTTTGGACCCAGTTCCTGGTGGCATCAACCAACCTTTAGACCTTAACTTACCCTTGGTCTTTTCCCTGGCTTCTGGATCCGCGCTACTGCTGCCCAGCCGTCTTTGGAACAACATATACAGCCGCGCCGCCTCACGTTTCCTTGCAGGCGGTCTACCCGACATACCTTCTTTTCCTTGCTAGGTTCTGGTCGACCACCAACGACTTGACGCGGTCTAGGAAACTAAGCTTGGCCAGTATCTATCGTTGTTGTAGTATGCTATTAGAGCCAGCGCAGTCCCAACGCCACGCTCTTGCTGTTGACCATCGCGTTCACCCACTCGCGTCCCACGAACATCCGGGCTCCAAGGAATCTGTCGACACCTTCTCTGGTCCTCGCAACCCCATGGAACGCAGCACCGCCGAGTACTCGCAGTCAGGTTTGCCCTCGCCCTATCCTAGCAACTTCGGCGACACCAATTCTGAAGGTTCGTCGGCAGATCACGCATCTGCTGCACAATATCCCGTGAAACAGGAAGCAACCTACCCAACTTCGGCCACGCCAACCTCTGAGTACGGTGTCTATCCTCCATCGGCCCGGTCAGGATCTTTTCCAGAACATCTGCAACGCCCATACCATACCGCAAGCAGTGCAAGCAGCGCAGGTATGGCGCAGCAGCAACCAAACAGTCCGTCTTTGCCCCAGCCGGATGGGCGTAACCATCATGAAGCCTCATCAGCTAAGTCTGACAACGATGTTCCTATAGATCCGTCCATTGCGGCTCCGAGTCCTACATATCCGTACGGGCAGCACTCTCCCTACGCCCCGAACCCAGATATGGCGGCGCACAGCTACTCTCACCCAAGCGGTGGGATGTACGCACAGCCGCGACCAGACTGGGGTGGCTACGGCCAGCACGCTCAGCCTCTGACCCCGGGGCACCCAGTTTACGCTCACGGGGGTCCTTCTGCACCTCCTCAAGCTCGTCCAAGCCAGGTGAGTTCCAAGCATGCAGTTTCTGAGAGTGGGATTGGGAAATGCTTCAAAAACTAGCGCAAACGCCGTTTGTCCAAGTTTTTGGACATGGTGCGTGTTCGCGCCGATCGAATTAGGGGGGAATATATCTTTTGGCTGTCAAGACGCGTCAAGTTCGAACCTGGGCTAATAATGGTGTTTAGGTCTACTCTTTCGTTCCTATTCCCGGGGCCCAACAGCACAAACGGCCGCGAAGGCGATATGAAGAAATTGAGCGCATGTATAAGTGCGGCTGGAACGGCTGTGAGAAGGCATATGGGACCCTTAACCATCTTAATGCCCATGTGACGATGCAGTCCCACGGCCCCAAGCGTACTCCTGAAGGTATGTGCCAACACGCGATCTCCTTTTTCTTTCGTACAATGCGATTTGGCGCAGTTCCTACGCGTTCGCAAGCTTCTAGCGCCAATCTAGTGGCACGCGCTTGTTGTTCTTGGCAGTGTCGCGTCAAAATTCAAGATTGCTTCCCCAACAAGAAAAAAAACAATCAGCCACGCATATACTGACATGATTTTTCTGTATAGAATTCAAAGAGATACGCAAAGAGTGGAAGGCCCGCAAGAAGGAGGAGGAGAATCAGCGCAAGGCTGAGGAAGAGAGGCAGCGTCAGGCGGCACAGGCTGCTCAAGCTGCTGCACAGAACGGCCCTGACCCACAAGGCCCAGACGGACCACCAACCTCATCCTACCCCGGATCGCGACCCGTCACTCTGCCTCCTATCGGGTATCAACCCGCCCAGTACCCGGCGCCTCCTTCTGGTGGTGTTCAGCAACCTCTCCCCGACTACCAAAACCACATGTACCCTAATTACCCTCCGCCACACTCTCCTTACGCTCAGCCTACCCAGGGCATTTATAATCAGTGTGAGTTTGACGGCCGATTATGCAATTCTAGCGTTCCTCTGCTAACATACAACCTAAGCTAATGGCGGACAACCTCCTAGCCACTAGGATAGGCAAGACTATGATGATATAGAGGAGGAAAGTCACCGATCTTAATGAATGGGAAAAAGCACAAAAGGAAAAACTGTACCATACTGGGACTTCTTCGCTGCATCGCTTTATTGCGCACTTGAACCATCCCGCTATTTGGCGCCGGGTTTTAGACGCTATAGAGCTTCCGATACACGAGCCCGCTATAGGGTCTCGGCGCATCTCTGGTTCGGCTTTTCTTTTGTCTGTTTGTCGAATTTGTTTCAACTACATGCAAACGCGGTGTCTCTACCCAGGTATATAGCCCTGAGCCATTATGTGGCGTCTTTTTGCGGCTTTGGGCAGGAGGTGTTGTGCTGTCACTTTTTGAGTATATTCAACGTACATGCTAACTGATGATTACGGAGAGGGAGACGGTTGCATTTTGGCGGGGGTTTCAACCGGGGGGGCGGTCTGTTTATTTATTATTTCCCCATGATGAACCTTTCTATTTTTTTCCTGGTCTCAAATCTCGGTTTCTGGAGTGATCTTTGGTCTGGAGTCTGATGTTCAGAGAGAATGGATTGGCAAGTCTGACCTTGGATACGATTCTCGGCAGCGGCCTCAACCACAAATTATTACAAAGAGTGGATTGGGATGGGCGAAGGCAAGAGAACAGAGGAGAGAGAACGTCAGATTGGTACTGGCTATTTGAGATGTTAAAGTGCGTACGCTTCCAGGGCTGCTTGCAAAGGCAGGCTCTGGCTCTTGGATGAGGACCAATGACAAGAAAACCCTTCATTCAGTTGATTTCATTCATTGCGCCGTGTTGATCGAATTTCTGTGAACGTGAAAAAACGAAACTTGTGCGGTGGGAGGCGCACGGCAGGTTACACTACACCGAGCGTGGAGCAGCGTAGACTGTTTTAAGTGTGACTCTGGACGGCGTGGACACAAGAGAGTCTGGGGTATTGGTGGAACAGACGTGCGCATACTTGGGGGTCTGGTTTCCGCCGGGCCACCATGCGCATAACAAGCATCATGCTAGATCTGGCGTCTATTTTGCTTTCCTTAGATCTGGGCCAGATGAACCCATTGATCGATCGTACCACCAACCTGATTAAGTTAAGCCTCGCATGGCGAGGGCATGTGGTGTAACCGCATAGTCTGACCAGGTCTGAGACGGGGGTGGCCGTTGAGCCCCACGCTAAGGTTGCTAAAAAAGAATAGAGTACCTCTTCTGACTGAAACCTCCCTAGTTGCTGGCCCTCTTCGGAGGCAGATGTGTGTGGGTGTGAAGTATTCGCGGGCACACGTCTGGTGCAGTGTGCGTGCGCTCCATACCGATACATAAGAGTTTCAAGGCTGCATACTGCCCTTTTGAGAAACAAGCAACCGGGAACTCTCTCAACCAGGTGTTTTTCTCGTAATGCATGCGCACGCACCATACCGTGCAAACCTTCTTCTTTTCAAAGTTGTCATTTGTCATGCCGAGATTTAAAAATGCCTTGTTCCTGGCTCCAACGGCTCGGCTGCTGCCTGGGGTTTCTTAGTCTGCAGTAGTAATCGCCGTGCTAGCAGCTAGTTTTTCTCGAAGCAAGGACTGCCTTGCCTGCAGCACCAAGGCGGTCCATCCCGCTTGGATTCGAAACCGGCGGTGTGTGCGTGTCTTGGAAAGCGAAACGATGTGCACTTAAAGTTTATAGCGTGGTACTAGGACATGCTCCGGCCTGGCTCGGGGGAGAGGGGAGGGGGGGCCACCACCTGTTGCTTAAGTGTAACGAGAAGAGGGTAAGGGGAGGGATTAATAAAAAAAAAATCCAGTAGTCATGGGAGCCACGCGGCTGGCGTTACTTCTGGAACCCAGGCTGAAGAGGCCCCGAACTAATCGGCAGTTCAAGTCCAGGGATCTTCTGGCGTGAGACTGCCAAAGCCGGTTAGGAAGGCGGGAAAATCTCACCTTACACAAGACGCGGCCAAGATGGCCTTGGGCGTACGGCAAGGCCAAGGGGAGGGCATCTATCAATGCTACCTTGGCTAGCGCCCTGCCTGGAAGGGACTTGGGGACCCGAGAGGATGGGAAGAGGGTGGTAATGGGGATGCGGTGCACCCCCAGGCTGACTGGCGATTGCAGGAGGAGTCGGGTTTGCTAATACATGCATATTATACGAGGAGAGTGTGTCTGGAAACTCGTCCCTGGGTGCAAATAGAATGATAAAGAATACGCTGGAAGGAAATGGGAGATGGAAATAGAGTGCTCGGCGTGGCCGCAAACAACAAGCTTTTACTGTGGTGTGTGTTGAAGTCAAAGTTCTATAACTATAGAAACTGGAGTGCTAGATCGAGGGGCAATAATCATGGAAGGCACGAGGGTAGATGGGAGGAAGGAACCACGTTGCCACGCTTTAGGTGGTGCCAGGTGGCCCGTGGTGGGCTTTGGCAGTGAGCCTGTAGGTGCGGCGTAGGTTTCCGACAGGTCACAAGCGGAAGGAGGGGCATGACGTCGGAAAACTTTCCTGGGCTACGTATAGCAAACAATACAGGTTTCTCAAGGCATCTAACCTCACCGAAGTTGCTGCACCCTCTAATTTCTTATTTTAATATTGATGTTCTAGCTGCGCGCTTCTCGCAGTGAATCTTTAATATTCTCATTTTTCATCTGCTTCTATCCCCGCCGTCCTCCTTTTCTTTGAACTTCAGTCTTGTGGCCTTTCTTGCAGGACTCTTGCGAAACAACTATTACTTACCCATCTACGGGCACTCTTTGGATACACCCCTGCGTTGACATCTAAATCTATCCGATCAGCATCAACCGTATCTGGCCAGACTAATCTGCTTGCTTTGAACAACGGGCACATACTCAGGACGTTATGGATCCTGGCAAGTCCTCGCCGAGGCAGGGAATGGACAGAATTATTAGGTCTGTTTCCAATAGATCTTCAGGCGGCCTATCAACAAAGTCACACGACTCTGTATCTGTAGTTGGTCCTCACCCACTCGGCACGCTGCGTGTTCATCAGCCAGATCAACCTTCTCCCCTGGCGCAATCAGGACATGTAAATAATGACGCCGACGATTCCCCCCCGCCACTGGATGGCGATGAGCCGATGGGTGACATCCAATTGCCAATTCGGCAGCCGCAACGGCCTTCCGTGATGGGTGACAGACTATCCCATGAGATGGGTGGAGGAGATGTCATCCTTGTTCTGGACCTCCCAGAAGTCTTCACCGTTGGATACGATTCTCTTTCCTTCAATGCGAAACATTTTGGTGGAATTCGAGACTTCCCATCGGGCGCACACTTTATTTGGACTTCACATCCATCTGGAACTTCGACGCGTTGCGGCGTATGGGTTATCAGCTCTCATGCACACCAGGTCCACGTTTTACAATGGGACAAATACAATGAGATGCTCAGCGAGCCTTCCCGAACCGAGGCTCGTATTCAAGCAGACAACTTGGAGTCTATTCACAAAAAACTGGTGCCGTATAATGATCCCACAGCTGTGAACACCGAAATAGCCGAAAGTTCCAATGTGGATGAAGCATTACGTTTATGGGCCCAGCTGACCAGTGGGATATCTGAGGTCACCTTAAATCGAATCACCGGCCAGGTCGATGGCCACTACTTTGTCAATACTACGGATCGTGTCAAAGGATCAACGTTAATTGCGGCTGAAATAGAGCTTGAGAAGCGTATTTCTACGTCTGTTCTTCAGAACCGCGAGCTCAATTTCTCCTTCTCCCAGCTTTCCAAGACGTTTTCTACAAGCGATACTGGGGCGAAGCGAACATTCCAAGCAAGGGATGCCACCCCATATCTTCTATCCTTGGTTCATGATTCAACTGTCAATTTGAGTGAGAATGACATAGTGGGAGAGTTTCAATTTGCTTTCCTCGTGGGGATGCACCTTGGAAATGATGCCTGCATGCAACAGTGGTGGCACATGGTACTCAAAATCATTTTACGAGCATACCTTCTTCCTATCCAGAGACCGATACTTGCAGCTGAGCTGCTAAGATGCCTTGCAGCACAGCTCTCCTATAGCAACAGCAACTTTGACACGTCCATTCTAGACTATAGCGAGAGCCAGTCCCGTGAACTTCGGTTGGCACTAATTCTGTACAAGAGACGTATAGAAGAACTCTTTGAGTACAACGACATTCCAGATCAGCTCGCGGTTGTCACAGCTTTTGCACAAGTGGAATCAACCGTTGCCCTGCCGCCACTTGGGTGGGACCTCCGGAGTGACAACTACGTACGGAGCGGGAAGATAATGTTGGAAGATGGCGAGGAGATTGAAGTAGAGATGGGGGAACTGGAGGCTGAAGACGAGAGGGGCGAATATGCACCCGAGGTGGTCGAATTGGACGAGAGAGGAAACCAACGAGGGCTTGTCTCGTGGTCGGACTAGATGCACCTGGCAAAGGGACGAGCTTTGAAACGAATGTCCCGGTTGGGGCACACTTTTGAGGAAGGCCGCAACCGCCGCCGCAGGATTGCTTGAGGAACGTGATGTGCTCCTTGGTCCTAGATGCCAATTCAGGATGCGTTGCTATTTGATAACCTCGGTCTTTTGATGCCCTTCTGGTTAAAGAGGATGATGCGAGGCGTTTCTGAATGGTTGTCTTTGTGCAAGCCAAACACGTCTGTCTTTTGCATACACGTCTGCGTCATTCTTTGCTCAGCGTGACTTCATTAACACATTTTGATACTTTATACTCATCGAAACGAACTGTCGTCGGAAACCGTCCTACCAGCTGAACAGGTCCACAAGAGGGACTGCTCACCTGAATAAATTCCATGCACGTTCAATATTGTATTTGACTAAGATGACTTTTGGTACATCACAGACACACAGGATCAAGGATAAGTGGTAGAGGAAACAGATCATGGAACTTTGAAGGATTTTTATTTGCCTGCCGGACCGTTTACAATCCGCCAAAAGTAAGGCCACACATATGCCAGTGGGTAACCCATCCCCTTGCCAGAGGATATAGAGACTCCGAGTTCGATAGTCCGTCGTACTTGCCACGACAGGCCACCCAACGCAATAACGCAAATGCTGTTGTGCAGAGAAGCTTGGCAGCCCCTTGTGCCCAGCTCTGTCGCAGTAGTTTTCTCTCCCCCTCTGCCCCCCTCTCTTTCTCCCTTTCTTTTCCGTCCCACAACAAGCCTTTATCGGTAAGACTTCTGGAAGCGGGCACGGGCACCGGGACCACCGAACTTCTTGGGCTCGCAGCGGCGGTTGTCGGCGACGAGGAGGGTACGGTCGAACTGGACAAGAGCCTGCTTGAGGAGGTTCTTGGAGTGCTCATCGACGTACTTCTGGTAGTAGGCGATCAGGGACTTGGCGATAGCCTGACGGATGGCGTAGATCTGGGAAGTGTGACCACCGCCGGTGACGCGGACACGGATGTCGAGGTTGGCGAACTTGTCGAGGCCGACAACGAGGAGGGGCTCGTAGACCTATATAGAGCAAGACTGTTCAGCAAGACTGCCTTTTATGGTGAAAATTTGACACAATGGCCCCATCTCCACCCCGATTCCATGATATTATCAAAGTCTTGAAAAACTTCGAGGGTGGCAACGAGGGACTGGGCAATTCGATTCCATGGGCATGAATTCGTACCTTGAAGCGGAGGATCTCAGGCTGGATGAGCGAGAGGGGGCGACCGTTGACCTTGATCAGACCCTTACCGGCCTAGAATTTCGAGGTTAGCATCAAGAGTGTTTCCCTTCATCTCGACACGTCCATCGGAGGGCGGTTCATGCGGACCTGGGCCTGGGCGACAGCAGTAGCCGTCCTCTTCTTGCCGAAGCATTGCACACGCTGTGTCGTCGACATGATTGCTGTTTCTTGTGGTGGATGATCCGGGTGGTCGATCGGTCGTTTGGCGTACTGAAGGCGTGTTGCTACTGATTCTCACGATATGGTGTTGGCGGACTAACGAGTTTTCGCACGAAAGAGGAGGGTTTGTGCCCTGGGTCATGGGCTATTCCCTTTTTGGCTGTCTGGTCCAGAAAAAAAAATTATGAAGTTGCAGAATGCCCGCCCACAAGACCTTTTTTTAGTGCGTGCCTGACCTCAGCGCCAAAAAAACGCCTGGAGATACAGAGACCACGTGACGCCCACAACAGAAAACCCTAAGCCCTTGAACATTAGCGCCGAATCTGGCTATTGCCAAAATTTCGACTTGGGAAGAGTATCGACCAACGCCGCCGCGACACAATTCGACAGCCATCCGACCCACGAGTCACCCGCCGACAAGGTCAGTATTATCATCATGATACCGAGGTGCTGCCTGGACGAAATTGACATTCTTTTTAACAGATGGTTTCCGCCAAGAAGCACGTTCCTATCGTGAAGAAGCGTATGTTGGCCCTCCCCTCGCTGCAGAAAAAAAAAATCACAAACTCCCACCGGCCATATCGACGAAATCGACGACTTCTACTGTGTCCACCCAGGGTCGAAGATGGAAATTGATTTGGGCGTGTCGGGGAATTTTTGAATTGAGGAAAGGCAACATGTGAATGGGAACGTCGATTGTTGACTGGATTATGCAGACCGGAAGAGCTTCAACCGCCACCAGAGCGACCGATTCAAATGTGTCGACTCCAGCTGGCGCAAGCCCAAGGGCATTGACAACCGTGTCCGAAGACGCTTCCGTGGCACCATGACCATGCCCAAGGTACGGAACCTACCTGCCCCTCCAGCGTTGGCCCAAGATGAGAGGGGTTCTTTCCGTGTTCTGGAGGAGGGATTGGACAAAATGAACCTCTGTCTTCAGCATACGTTGTCATACGAGGAATCAACGGGTTTATTAACATGGCCTCTCCTAGATCGGTTTCCGCTCCAACAAGAAGACCCGATTCCTCACTCCTTCCGGCCACAAGTCTTTCCTTGTCAGCAACACCAAGGACGTTGAGCTCCTGCTCATGCACAACCGCACCTTCGCCGCAGAGTATGTCCTACCCAGTCCCAATTGAGGGCCCAAAACCTTCCCTCGTCTCGATCCGGTGCTAACATGCCTCCTCTCAGAATCGCCCACAACGTCTCCTCCCGAAAGCGCATCGACATCATTGCCCGCGCAAAGCAATTAGGCGTCAAGGTCACCAACGCCAAGGCCAAGGTCACCACCGAGGTTTAAGGGAGTTATATATTGGGGCAAAAGGGAATGAGTTAACAAAGAAGCTTGGGAAAACTCTCTTTTTTCCGTGTTCATCAAACATTAGGACGGGGTTAGGCAATTGCTTTTACGAATTCAGTCTGTGGTGCGCGCATCAAAAATCGGAATCAGGTTTTCCCCATGTGTCTTTTGCTGGCGCCGAGCTCTGGCATGGCCAGAGGGATGAAAAAAATAAAGCACCATTGAATGAATGGCTCGGCTTCCTGAGAGTGTGACTGTATTGTGATGTTCAGCACGTTTATGTGCGTGCTCTTCCCATGTACTTCGGAACCATCGAGATTTCTCAAGGTGCCCAGTCATTGTGTGCCCAGTTGTTCCTCGTTCCCCCAAGCCTGAGGATGACATTTTAATTCTGCCTCGACGGCAATTGGTACCCAGAGCCTTCCGCCCCCGATATCAGCAACCAGTCGTGGAGTTGTTCTTATTCAAGACAACCCCACAACGACCCAGTCACAATATATTCATTCTTTCTTAATCGATATAAGCAATGCGTGTCCCAAGATCAAACTACACCCCGTGAACACTTTATAGAGTTTTTTTTAACACATAAATCATAGTCTGTATGAACCTTTCACACCAAGAAAAGTCAGAATCAACACGTTTCGCCTCGGTACAGGCATGCACGCCTCAAAAAACTCTACTAAAGACTAGCCAGTATATTTGTTTGCTTTTATCAATCGTCATAAAGTAAGGGGTATCCCAAGACAGGCCAGGCCACACACCTGATTACATCATATAAGTTTTATTCTAAAGACAAATTACGGACCATCCCTGAACTTTTCACACCAAGAAAACTTAGACAATCACACATATAGCCTAGGCATAGGCAACAACATCTATATAAAAAAACTCTACTCAGGGTTGGCCAGTACAAGTATAAATAACTTGGCCATGGCCCCCAAAAGGGGAAGCTCATCACAACACCACACCTCTCTCCAAGCCCCAATTTCAGTATCCGACACCATCGTAGCTACCCCGGGCCATGTATTTTCCAGGCCCTGGTCAGTCGCCCTGACCGGTCCCAAGTTGGTAGGGATAACATCAAACACTGACATTGGGGCTTGGAGGGGTGTGTTATAACTTAGCGATAGCCCCTGGGGGAGAGCTCATAGGTAACCACGCCTCTCCCCAAGCCACGATGTCCCGTATCCGACGTTATCAGCCCAACCACCCAGGGCCCAGTCAAGGCAACTAACCAGGTCCTCGAAAATACTAGGCCCTGGGTGGTTGGGATGATCGTGTTGGAGACTGACATTGTGGCTTGGGGAGAGGCGTGATATAACCCAGCCATAACCCCTGGGGAGATGCCCATAACCATACCTCTCCAAGCCATGATGTCGGTATCTGGTTTTGTCTCCCTACCACCCAGGGCCTGGTCAGGGCAAATAACCAGATCCTAGAAAAGCCGACGACGCTTATCATAAACGAGTCAAAGCAGCTCTATTCCTACTTTATCCAAATACCCAAGCCTCCGATCAGTCGAGGGTCTCCTAGCGGCGACGAAGACGCTTATTCCAACACAGACCTAGCAGCTACAGCTCAACCTGCTTGTAAGTGAGTGGCCTTGTTACAGCTCCTGGGTCTGCTTTGTTGCAAGCGGCTTCTTTGCCGCGAGGAAGCCCTCGACTGATCGGAGGCTTGGGTATTTGGATAAACTCGGGATAGAGCTGCTTTGGCTTGTCAGTGATGGACGATCACCGTGGTCGCAATGCGCATTTCCTGTATACTATCCAATGGCTTAAACCCCCACCCCACATACGAGTGCATCTAGGCAAGGACTCAACCTGCGGCCCCCAGTAATATTCGTGCTGGGTGATCTAATTCCTCTGTTCTCAGGGGAGTCTCGTACCTTCTTTCCTAGGCTCAATTCCGTTGGGCCCTGCTGATGAATGTGCATCTCACATCCTATCACAACGGACGACTCCTTCTGAAGACTCATAGTCTAAAGTAAGCCAGCCATGAATTTTCTTGATTCTTTTAGGCTCAATCCTAGTCAACTTGTAAATCCATTTAAGTGGGCGTCTATCTTGTAAAACCTGGCATGCAATATGCTCTGCATGTCCGAGTACATCTCAGTCATTATATCACATGGGATTCAAGCATGTTGGTTGTTCCACCCATTGCGCATCACGTGATGTTGCTTAGCGCATCAAGAAGCGATAGGATCGTAGGTATATTGAATTAAACAACTAACTCCATTTCCAACGCAGCTCTTTTCTTCTTTTTAAAAAAAACCTTCGAACCAAATGCAAGAAAACCAATGGAAATTTGGGTGCAAAGCATATTCGAATCGAATAATCGCAAGTGGGGGTATGATCTTCTCATATCATTCATGCCCAATAGAGGGGGTTTTGTATATGTGTGTGTGCCAACCGACGGGGAAAGGGGGGGGATGCCACAACAGAAAAGGTCCATGTTAAAACAAAACAGCTCGCGTGCCGCCCCATGAGCCAAGATGAAGCAAGATGCAACATCGAGCCAACGAAGAAGAAGTAGTAGAAGAGAAAAGAAACTGTGGCCCAACTGAGTCGCCGTGGATACGAGGCAACCATGTATAGCCCTTTGATAATTCTGCCCCTCCCTTTGCCGTGCCCAGACGCCGTGTGAAAATGTTAGACTCAAGAAAAACAAATCGCAGAAGAGTCGATTCTGCAGTGTGGTTTCATGCGATGCCGGTCCTGAAACTTGAAATGTATTTACGGATAAGCCCATGGCGCTGCCGGGCTCATACTTATAGGAGGGTTCCTCGTGAGCGCTGTTTTCTGGCCAACCAATCTCCCAGCATATTGTCAAGTTGCTGTTCACATAATTCCGTTAGCCTCTGATGGTAGTGTTAATATGGGCGACAGATTAGTAGTCACTTACCGTTGTTATTTCTGCCAACCTGGCATTCTGCTCGCGGAACAAGCTGCCGGCGCTTGAGTCCGAAGGCTCGACGTCTGACGTGTCGTAGACGACGGCCAGAAGATCACGGACATGCTTCCCTTCGTCAAAGAAGGCCCGCAGTTTGGTGTCGTCCCATGCAGGCTCCTGTGGGGCCTCTGCCTCGTTTTCTTTGAAATTCTCCCCAACATGGACCAGGTCGGGAGATGGCGAGCCCTCTGGTGAGGGTGAGTGCGCGTAATCTGCCATGAGGCCTGGGGGCTGATGCGGGTTGATGGGGGATATGGGAGATACTTCGATGGGAGACTCGGAGAGTCGGTCCATGTCCTGTTCTGGGGAAACTGCACGAACCGTAGGGGCACCTTTCGGGCTCAGCATCGGGAACGCACCAGGTACATGAGGGCTACGGACTCTCTCCGTCTCCACTCTGATGACAGGTGTCGGGGTCTGTGCTGGTTCTGGTGTCTCGTGCAACAGGGCCTCTGCGGCATCTGAGCTATCAGAATCGTCGAGGTCCATGCGAGACTGGGCTGCAGCCACCCTTTGCGGCTGAGCTGCCGAGGTTTGCTGTGGCTTGCCAATAGCTGGCTTTTCGTCTCTCTGAGACCTGTCACGGGCTGCCTGTTGCTGGTTCGAGGAGACTTCTCTTGTCTCTTGCGTCTCGGGGTCAACGATGCGCATCGTCGAAGGGGGGACATTGGATACATCGTTTGTCCGAGTTTCCGAGAAGGGGTTGGTGATCTCCGAGCTCTTCTTCTGGGTCGAGTTCTTGCGTACCAAGGAGGGTTCCACTCTGGCTTGCGGTTTCTGAGGCTTGGCAGCTGATCGAGGCTGCTTGTCCGACTGCTCGTCGGCCATTGGATCCTCGCTCTGTCGGGGTTCTGACATGACGTCCATGGACCGCTTTCCGGACGAATTGTCATCATCTTCCGACGTGCGTTTCTTATCCTTCCTAGAGAAGAAGCTTCGGATGGTGCTCGGTTTCTTTTCCTTCTCCTTCTTCTCTTTCTCCTTTTGTTTCTTCTTGTCTTTATCTGAAACAAACTCCCGGTCCATCTTGCTCTCCAGACTAGGACGAGCCTTGTCTTTCGTAACAATTGAATCTGTTGATGGGCGAGATCCAAGATCATCCCGGAGCAGGTTAGGAGTCAGGGTAATCTTCTTCGTCTCCGCCGTGTCATCCTTGAAGAACGAGTCGGTGTTTCTCATGGTTCCATTCCTGGAACGGCCAACCATGTCAACATGGCCGCCAAGTAGCTCCGTGCTGTCCCTTGTTTCGATTTCAACGTCATCGCCGTCCTTAGTTCCGTCGGCCTTGGCCTCCTCCTTCGAGTCAACCTTGGACACGCCAGCAGAACCCGTCTTCAAAGGCTCTACCTTTGCCCGCTCATCAGCCATGTCGTCATCGCTGGCAGCTTGTGAGTCTTGCTGCTCTTTGTCCTGCTTGTCTTTCTGATCCTGCTGTTGATCCTGGTCCTGCTGCCCTGACCCTGCCGTGACATCTCGGCCAAATAGCTCCTCGATGTCCTCCTCATCCGAAGAGTAGTCGATATCAGAGTAGTCGACATATGTTGGCTCAGTAAAGGTAACAGTCTTCCAGCGCTTCCGGATCTTGTTCAGTGTGCTCTTCTGCTTCTGCGGGTTGTCCCCCAACATAGCTGCTGACAGCTTTCATATTGTGAGCATATCGTCTCGAATGTGGTACTACGGTCACCACAACTTACATCAACATTCCTGTGTTTGTTCCATCTGGCAAGCCTCTCGGTTGGAGTTTCAATGTGCTCGGCTGGGAGATATCCTGCCAACATCGCAATTAGCCGGGAGGGGGGAACCTTGGTGAGCTGTCTCAGTGGGAACCATACCAATACTACTATCCTTGACAACTCTGACCAGCCACCAGTAGCTGTTACTATCGTCTAGGAGGACCATTGTGTCACCTTTGGTCGCATTGGCCTGGCCTTCGACGGTGGCGACAAAAGTGTGCAGCGCATAAACAAAGTCGAAATCGATGTCCTCTGAATCAATTGGTAAGCATTCAGACGCCGCAAAGCAAAATTCAGAGTAGTCAGTGTCATTTG